CACACACACACACACACACACACACACACACACGACAAGCAGCAGTATGGGGGATGATTTTTATTGTAATGCCTGATGGTGGGAGACAGAAGATATAGGCACCTAGTGGGTAGAGACCAAGGATGCTGCTGAACATCTGTAACAAATTAAACAGCACCCCCCCCGCCCGCAAAGAAGTTATCTGGCTGCAAATGTCAAGAATACCAAATTTGAGGAACCTTGAGCTCCAGTTACCAGTGCCTGGTAATATATTTCTCAGTTGTCAATGGTCTAACAGTGTATCACCTGACCACTGCAAGACAGCATTCTGGACATCTACCCACAGGATGGGTCCCCCGGGGCCCTCAGATTGCTCCTTGCAGAAGGGTGCAGCTGGATGGAGATTTGCCTGAAGCAGAAATCCCTTTTGTCTCTCCCTATTTATCATCATCATCATTACTTTTTTACTTTGGTTAGCAGATGTTTCTTTAGTGCTCTGACATCCTTTTTAATTTGCACATTTATTAATTTGGCTGGCTGAAAGTGGAGTTCTTTACCTACCAAGTCGTCCCTGTACCTTAAGGCTGGTGGCTCTCGCATGGAGATGTCATGCCCTGCCATCCAGCCCTGGGAAGCACTTTTAACCCATAGCATCATTAAATGGGATCATATGATGACCACTGCAATTTTGGCTTCTCTGCTATCTCGCCCTCCAAGTGAAAGAAGCTGATTGCTCTCGAGTCCATTTACCCGGCCACTCTAGGGGGAATTGTTTGGATTCTAACAGCAGCCCTCACGACATCCCATTTATAGCTGTGACAAAGAAGTAAGCAATTAATCAGACATCCCCTCTAACAATACTGACCTGCCAGCATTCAAATGCTTTAATTAAAATTACGCGGCACAGTCTATGCCAGGAGTAAGTCTAGCAACGTCTCTGCCAGGCAGGAAGCAGGTCTTCCTACCAGCCCTGCAGCAGTCTGAGTAGCGGATGTCCCCAGCTCAGGACCTCTAATGAGAAGGGGAAGAAGTCTCCAGGGATGATTTGTGGATTCTGCTACTCACGTGCAAAAATGGACTACATCCTCACTAGCTCATTCACAGGCTTTAGCACAGAAGGATTCGTCCAATAGAGATGAGCCTTTCTTGCTTTCTCCATCCTTTCATTCTTTCCTTCCTTCCACTGCCTTCATTCCCTCTCCCTCCTTCCTTCCCTCTTTCGTCTTCTTTCCTTCTTTCCTCCTTCCTTCTTTCCTGCCCCCTCCCTTTCTTCCTCCTTTATTCCTCTCTCTCTCTCTGTTCCTTTCCTTTCTTCCAAAACACAAAAGATGAGAAGCCATATCACACCCACCAGGATACAGCTAAAGTCACCTCAGCTGCTTCAAAAAATAAAATGTCAGTGCAATTTTGAGATTTAAAAATTCTAAATATCAGTAAGCACGGAAAGGCTGGATTTTCTTCCTTCCAGTGATAACTCGGCCTTATGATAGGTTTCAGCCTCTTGGTGCTCATGCCTGCTCCCCAGCCTTCCCATCTAGCTTGTACACAGACACACCCAGGCTTTAAAATCAATAAAGGTGCACCTCATTGCAACTGGAGGGGAAGATGGCTTAGGAATATCCAGGATGCCCACTTCCCACCATTTAGGTTACACTCACTCTTGGCAGTGTGCAATTTCATTGAAATATGCCACCGTTCTTTGAAATAGATTCCACACTCATTCATTTGTCCTTGAATTGTTGCCTTCTGTATTTGTTAATTGCCTACACTTTAACTGTTAGTGTGGGCATAGAGACTTTCTCTCAACACAACTATACTGACTCCCAAGACCTCTAACTTCTTCTGCCCTTGGTCATTGTCTTCTGCCTCCAGCAGAAGTATTCTCTCTGTAGCTTCTAGCCACAATTCTCCAGAACACCTCAGGCACAATCTAGTTAACCCTGTGCCCAAATGCTCTACCAAGCAGAGCAATGGGCCAACTGGGTCAGTGCTGGTCTCACATTTCCAGTACCCTGTGGGCCTTTTCCAGAGTCCAGATCCTTAGTATCTCTTCATACTTCGCCTACAAGCTGCCCTCCAAATGTGCAGCCTCTACATTGTGCCCCTGCGGTGTCCTGTCTTTCCATACACGGCTCCTCATTGTCAGGGCCATCTACAGGGCCATGGCCTCCTCCCTCATTGGCTTGGGCTTGTCCGCTCCATTTTGCCTTCTCCTCTCCCTGAAGCCACACACAGTGGCTTCCTGCCCGCTCTGAAGCCGTCACTCTGCTCCCTTTCATGCCCTGTCCCCTTTCATGTTTGTATTCCTTTCCCTTTGAAGGAGACCGATACTTCCCATAATGGTTTTCAAGTTGAAAATAGGAAACTTAAAACTTTCCCTTCCTCCTTCCCATGTGTGTTTATTAAAATAATCTCTCTCCCTCGATCTGCCTGCGTCCTTCACACAATTCCCACCACAAGTTCAGGTTCAGAGACAATAATTGCTGTCATTTCATCACATCTGTCTTGTTATTGTGTAAGACACCAGGTTATCTCAACAGAGGACAGGGACCCATTGGTAGGGGCCCACATACAATGTAATTATTTTTAAAAGCAATTCAGATTATCATATAGACTGCTGGATACCAAGAAATCATTTCCTTATCCAAAGTTTTATTTTTTCTTACCTTCTCCAATATTTCTTTCTAATCTTCTGTCACCCTTCTGCTCTAATATGTCACCTAGAAGATAGACATAGGGGCCAGAGTTCTCCAGAGAACCAGAACCATCAGGACTTGTATATAAACACACGAGATTCCTTTCAAAGCATCTATTTGTGTCATTGTGGAGGTTTTGTAAATCCAAAATCTGCAAGACAGGGAGGTAGGTTGTAGACCCAGGAAAAGATTCAATCAGAGTCCAAAGGCTGTCTGCTTGCAGGATTCTTTTCTGTTTGAGGGAGACCAGTCTGCCCTAGTCAGGCATTCAGCTGACAGGGTGAGGCCCCCACAGTATGGAAGCCTACACTTTATCCAGTGGGCACCAATTTAAATGTGAATCTCCTGCAAGAAGCATCCTGGAGCATCATGGAGACATCCATAATTCTCCTGGACCCCCTGCCTATGCACCATGGCCCAGCCATGTTGACACATATATTTCACCATCCTAGAAGGAATTCTCTAACTGTGCCATATGGAGTGCTGGTCCCTTGGTTTAAGTGCTGAGTTGAGCTGATTTCTCTCCTAGGTATTTGCTTCATTATTAAAAGGAAGAGACAGGATGTGAATACAGTACTGTCATCTCCTCTATCCTCAGCTCCACTTTTCACGGGGTCTCAATGACTAGTGATCAACCATAGCCTGGAAAAGTCCAGAAATAAGCAATGCCTAAGTCTTGAATAGTGCACTATTCTGAATAGCATGCTGAGATCTTGTACTGTCCTATCCCTCCCACCTGGGACACCAGTCATCATTGTATCCAGGATGTTCACTTTGTGTATGAGCCTGCTGATTGGTCACTCAATAGAGGCCTGGGCTGAGGTCTACCCTGGTGTCATGACAATGTGTGTCTTCTGGGAGCCTGTATTTTACTTCAAAATGGTGCAAGGTCAGGGATGTCCAGGAGCACAAGCCAGGGGTGACAGAGCTATGCACTGTGTGGTCACACTGCAGCACACAGTCAAGGAGCAGAGTATGTAAAGTTTCCGGCACACTGGAATACACACCCTGTGTGTGAGGGGCAACAATATTTCCTGAGCGTCTCCTGGACATCAAGTATTTCAATGAATTATTACAGCAACTTTAGGAAGTAGGCAAAATTATCTGAATCTTCCTACAAGAAGTCACTTGGAGAAAATATACATGAATTTAAGTATATTATTGTTTTCAACATCTACTCTCAGAATAAATAATGACTCAAAAGTCTTCCTCAGATCTTCGCTGTCAAGACAAGCCCCTTCCCAAATCCTCCAAAACAGTCTGGCCTTGCGCCTCACTTCCATTTGCATCTAACTTGTCGGAGACACATTTTTAATCCATTATCCCAAACCACATTGTATATTAGGACAGTTGCTGACTTTATCCATCCTGTACAAGTGTACTTCCTTTGGATTTTATAACATGTGTTCTGAAAGTGCACAGGTCCATGAGATTACCAGTTTACCTCTCTTAGTATCCAAAGCTACAGCTGACTGAATTTTTAGCTGCAGCTATAAATGTTCCCAAGTGGCATTTTGTTGGGGAAAAAAGTGATTGAGGGAATACCCCTTAGAAAACAAAACCAAACACAACAGCAAAATGGAGTCATTGTGACAGAGACTGTGGGACTTGCAAAGTTTAAAGTATTTACTGTCGGCCTTTGACGACAAAATCTCCCAGCACCCAGCCAGTGCAAAGCTTGACCCCCAGGTACCAAGTTAATGGGCAGCCTACCCATGCCAAGGCTGCTTTGTAGAGCCTTGATTAAAACCACCCTACTGATGTTTGTGGAACAATACACACCCCACCTGTGTCTTACCCAAGATGAAATCATCAGCCCTCAGTGTTGGCAGATGACTGTTCCCAGGACACTCTAGTCCCTCATATGAAATGACATGATATTCACACAGACCACACACACAGCTTTCAGACTACTCTAAACCATGTCCAAATAACTTATAGTAGCTAATACAATGTAAACACTCTGTCATTTAGAAAATAGTAACAAGAAAAAAGGTGGTACATGTTTAGTACAGAAATAACCATTATTTAACTATATACTATGCATCAGTGGTGACTTAATGTGTTTAAAAAATATTTTCCCTCCGTGGATGGGGAGCCTGCAGTTGCAGGAGCCAACTCCACTAAGAAAATGAAATGATCTTTGAATTGACTTGATATCCTCAGAAAAACTGTGATAAAAACAAGATTGACCTCCAGATTTACTTAAGTAAAAGGTTCTGAAGATTGGCAGCCAGAAGGAACCTTGAGTTTTGGGTCAGGTGGCCTTGCAGGAGGGGGCCACTGACTGGTGTAACATATGAAGCCAAGTGCTTTTGTTTCTGATCTGTAAAGTGGGGTGAATCAGCCCGGCTTCCCTCGGGAATTTTTGTGAAAATTAAAATGTCTGGGTCAGAATATGAATGAAACAAACCACATCAAGACTATGTGGCTACTAGACAACTAACAATCCCACAGGACCCAGTTATCCTACTACTGAGTAAATATTCAAAGGAGATGAGACTATGTACCAAAGAGATTCTCATCCTCCCAAGCTGACTGCAACACAATGCACAACAGCTAAGAAATGGAATCCACCTAGATATCCACCAGTGGATGAATGGATAAGGAAAATGGGAAATATATATGCAATGGAATATTATTCAGCCATAAAAAATGAAATCCTACCATTTGCAGTAACATGAATAAAACTGGAGATCACTATGTTAAGTGAAATAGGACAGACACACAAAGACAAATATCACATGCTGCCACTCATTTTTGGGGTACTAAAAAGTTTATCTCATAAAAAGCGGGAAAAGAGTGGTCACTAGAAGAGAAGAAAAGAAGTTAGATAAGAAGCCCAAAATATGGTTGAGAGGATGAATTAGCTCTGGTTTTCCATAGTACTGGAGAGGAATTATTATTTACAATAGTCTGTATTTCAAAATGACTAGAAGAAATTGCCCACATATAAACATGATAAACATTGGAAGAGTTGGAAATGTTTATCACCTTGATTGAATTGTTACACATTTTACACACATGTCATATTAATGCACCCAGAAACTCTGCATCCCCATTGAAAAATATACCTGTGTGGCTACAAAGAGCTCATCCTTCTCACATGAGTGGGTAGTCTGGCTCATTCTGCTGCTGTGGCCCCTGCTCCTGTGGGTGTCCTTCCTCACCTCATGACAGGCAAAGGCTGTGAGTGGACTGAGCCTCTCTCCTGGTCACATGGCCTGAACTTTGCCCACCATTGCCTCAAAGCAGCCTCTGGACCTGCATTTCCCACCTGTCTGGCTGAGCCACATCTTCTCACATCCCAACATACCTCATGGTCATCTGAAGGAGCTGCCTGGCCAGGGTGCCTAGCCTCTGCCTCTTAATGGGACAAGAGGCAAAGGATTCATGGCCATTTTCAAGAACCACTCTTGCTTAGGACAACACTCAGTGAGCAATGGCCTGAGCCACTCTTTCAACACTGTTTTTGATTCTTTTCTACTGCACCACAGCCAATTTCTTGGTGCCAAAAATGTTCTCATTGCTAGCATTTTTCTTTTGCCAGGTATCTCTTAAGGTGGTTATCTAAAATGACCCCCAGGAGCTCATTATATTTAAATTGTGGTTGTCAGCTTTTGAAGGAATGGGATGGAGAGCACTTTAACTTGGTGAGTGGATTCATCCATTGCTTGGCCATGACTGATGGGATTATTGGGAAATGATGGGAACAGGAGCTGGGACATCACTGAAAGAAGTGAGTCATGGGGGTATGAAAGTGGGAATTCTGTCTAGGCCCTGGCCCCTTCCTCTCTAGCTCTTTCCACCTCTCTCTACTTCCTGACTGCCATGAGGTAAGCAGGTTTCCTCTGCCACACCCTTCTGCTGTGATGTTTGGACTCATCCCAGACCCACAGAAATGGAACCAGTGCACCATGGACTGAAACTTCTTAAAGCAAAATAAAGCAGTAAACATTTTCTCCCTTAAGTTATTCTTCTCAGTTATTTGATCAGAGATGGAAAGCTGACAAATGCAATATCACACACTGTGCCCTTTCCCATTAATAGGTGCAACAGCAGTGCTGCCCCTGTCCCCCTCCCTCAGATTTCAGGAAGCTCTCAGATTCCATGGTCACAGCTGCACAGGTTAGAGTGAGATCACAAGCCCAGGAGCTTGGCTCCCGTGCCTGTGCCCACACTGCATCCTCTATAACCAGTCATGTCCCACAAGGTCTGTTGAGTCTGGAAAATGCTACTTTGCCTGAGAAACCACTCCCCAGACTCATCTATCATGGTGAGCACCTTGCTCCAGGTTTGACACTCACCAGGGCTCCCTGCGCTGAAAAGTCTCCCAAATTTTGCACTCACTTCTTTAAATGTGTTTTAAACTATTTTAAAACTATTGTTAGCAGATGAGAAAAAAATTAAGAGAAGAGTTCAAGAACATGCAGTATTTTCATGCTATGCGGGCACCAGAGCTTAAGATAAAATGTCATTTCAGAAAGAAAACAGCAACAATAATGCTACTTTCACTTGAATGTTAATGCACTGCTAATGTTTACATCCTACATGCCAGGAGCTGTTCAAAATTCTTTATTAATTGCTATAGTTTGGATCTAGAAGGTCCTCCAAAGTCCCTTGGGTTAAAGGCTTGGTCCCCAACTTGTCCTGGGGAAGGTGGTGGATCCTATAAGAAGTGGGACTTAGTGGAGGTCTTATATCATTAGAGGCTTGGCTTCAGAGGAAAGTTGGGAATTCTACCCTATTTTCTCTTCCTTTTACCACTTCCTGACCACCATGAGGTAAGCAGCTTCCTCTCTCCATCATGCACTGCCTTCATGATGGGCTGCCCCATCATGGATCCAAAACAATGGGCCAGCTGCTCCTGGTCTGAAACCTGAGAGCTGTGAGCCAAAACAAACCTACCTTTCTCTATTAGTTATCTTGGGGATTATAGTACAATAACAGAAAGCTGACTAACATGCACAAAACTCCAAGTCCTCATGCATCTCTCTGACTGAGGTATTTGAGTCATTATCCTCCCTTTAGGAAAGAGGAAACTGAGGTACATAAGTCACCCCTGTAAAGTAGCAGAGCTAAGATTGGTCTACAGCCAGGCTGGTTCAGGAGCCTAATCCCTGACACAGCTGCATATATTAATGCTATTAATGCTGTCATCAGTTCATTGGAATGTCTGCCGGCAGGCAAAAACAGGAAAACCAGGTAAGGTAGGGGACTTTACTACTCCAGGGACCTCAGACTCCATGGACCTTAGACTTTGTGGCAGCATTTTTGGCCTCTTGGGTCTCCTTTTTAGTTGTTTCCCAGTACTCATCTGTGTTCCAAGACAGGTGAGGTTCTGAATGGATTAGTCTGATTGGTGAAAAAAAATTAACTTTCCTTCTTAAAAAGCAACATATTTTACCCAAGGGAAGTTTCAGAATGTCTTACCTCTTCATAAGGCTGATCACTTTTCTGATAACTACCTGGGTCTTTTTTTCTTTTCAGTCACACCTAGGGAAGACATGAGTTCCTTTCTAAGATAATAGGAACAGTTCTGATTCCACTCTCATTAATATAATGATTCCATAACACAATGACAGATAAAAAGAACTTTCTTCTTATTCTACTCAAGGCTCGTTTTACATAAAAATAGACCATAACTCAGAGTCTGCAATGTCTGTGGAAAGGTTATACTCGTTACCATCTAAATAGGCTGAGCTAATAAAAATTATATTTGTTACAATCCAAATAGATTAGCTGGCCTTAAGGGCTTAGCTATGTATTACACTTTTCAATTTTCTTATAATTAAATTAACATAAAATAGTCTTCACAAATAAATGGCTGTTTTAGAAAGAGTTAAACTCTGTTTAACGAAAATAGTGATTCTATTTACATGAGCAGCTTCTCAGGTTGGTTGGGAGGTGGGAAGAGGCACTTGTCTTCGAGGTGGACCCACTAGCCAAAGATGGGCAGAAAGACCCCCTTCCTGTCCTGTGTCTGCCGTGGATGCCCCAGCAGAATGAGCCCTCTGCATAGAGGGGAGCCCCGTGTTCTCTGCTAGGCGATCCAGACATCAGCCAGTAGGTGGAGCCTCAGTTGGCTCATCTGTAAAAATGGAGGACTCATCGTGGGAATTTAATCCAACATTCAACTTTCTGCCAGAGTCAAAGCTCATGAGCAAATTCTGCTGCTATTTCCTCAGCTGGTCTGCCCTATTCCTCTCCAGAAGCCTGGACTCTAGGCACCTTGATCTGCAAATACTGTTACAACATTGCTTCTGTAAAATCCAGGGCTCAGAACTTTGATTTTTTTAGGTACCATAGATAGATATAACTCTGTCCAAGAAATGCTCACAGCACTGAATAAATAATGATTTAGGCCTCTCCACTGAGCAGGCCTTCAGCAGAATAGTGGATGCCCTTGAATTGGTTGAATCCCTTAAATGTTGCCATCCTCACGAAGCTAATTAATTTAAAACCAGTCTTTTGTTTTAGTCTAGATGTGTCCTAACGAAGGGAAAGAAACAGAATAAGTTATGTATCTGTTGCCATTTGGAACAATCATAAGCTTCAGCCAAAGGAGAAAATACACAGAGAAAAACAGGAACTCACATCGGCTGGAAGTCCAGTTTGGAAAAGGGGCTGATGCTGTGATAAACACCTCTAATTCTTTGTCTTATCATCAAGCCATCTTGTGAGGAGCAGCAGAACCTGTCTGATTTGGAAATAGGTAAATAAAGGTGGCAGAGCATGTGTGAGTCAGAGGAAGCTCTGCAAACTGAGAAGTAAGGAGGGAGAGACATGGATGGAAGTGGGACCATGGGTGACATGTCTGGAGAATTCCTGGGTTGAAACATGACTGGACACTGGAAGCAGAGTGGCGTTTGTTGGTCACTTCTGTGTGCAGTGGCTTAGTAGGTGGTCTGAGCTAGACAGTGTGGTTGCTAGACATCAGTCTTGAGTGCTCTACTTCAGGCTCAATTGTTCAAGTACATCAACAGTAAAACACAGCTAAGAAGGCTAGCTAATAATAGAATGTAAACACTCACACCAGCAGCCCCTTGTGGGTCATTGTGATTTTTTCCTTATGATAAATAGACCTTAGTAGATATTTTGATCATGTTGAGAAGACAGTGGTGTAGGCTCTTACAATCTGTGTGTGCACCCTCCTGCTGCCCACCTTTTGGGCAATTTAGTCCTCGTTAGCACTTCCACAAAAGGATAAGCAAGAAAAGTAAGAGATGAGGCTCAATTGAGTCCATTTTGCTGCATGTCAGAGGCATTTCTCAAAGCTTTGATGAGAGAGCAGGTCAAAAGTAATGGTGCAATAAGGCATCTAAATTATCTGCGGGGCTCATTTATTATGGCACCCCTTGTCCCCATCATCAAGGTTGAGCAAGACCTGCAGCACACTTAAGAAGATTAAAATGTTCTAATTCAATGTGCTCCCAGGAGGCAAAGGGGTGAGAAACATAGCAATTTTCATTTTATAGCTTTTCTGTCCCTTTTACTGCATATGGTAGCAAACTTACACACTTTTACTTCCCAGGAGTCTAACACAAAGTAGATGTTCAGGAAATGTTATTTTGAAAGTTCTGCCTGCTTTTCAAGTTCCACAGTGGTTCTCAAAGTTTGCTGTATGATTCTGAACTCATCTTCCTTGGGTTTGCCTTTAATGCTAGAATTTTTCCCAGCATCCTGAAGAGACCTCAAAATGCAGTGAAGTTGGATAATGATGAGAACTATCTGTGTTCCTAGCAGACACCAAGAACAGAAGCTGAGTGTAGGAGGTGCAAGGTCATGCACCTGGGTACCAGTCAGATGAGGGTCAAGAAAGAGAGCCTGACTGACCAGGCAGCCAGCAAGTAGGAAAGTTAAAAAATGAGATGCCTGTGACACTCAGAAAAGAAAAGTAAGTAAGATTAAAATTAGTTCTGGGATGGAAGGACATATCTTGATTTCTGATAGACATCAACCCAGAGAACAAACATGTTCAGCACAAAACATGTGCCTTTGCATGGGGGCCAGCCTCACCATGTTCCCAATTGGCTGAGGGTTCTTTTGCTCAATTCAGATAGAAATCAAGAATAGGTAAAGCTCCCTTACTGGTAGCAGGTCTGAGCTTTGAAGGCCAGCTACATTCAGCTCTTATTGTTAGTGGCCTTCCTTGCTGCCCTTCTGGCAGCTGAAGCCAGCAGCTCCCAGCAGCTCTCTGGGACTTTTCCAGCAGCCAGAGTTAGCAGCTCCCAGGAGCTTTCTGTTGTTCTCTGTCATTACAGAGAATGGCCGTGTACCCTCCTCAATGTTACCAGTTCTGGCTGCTGGTCATGGTCATGACCAGCATGCTTGAATGTTGCCAGGTCTTTCTGTAACCAACTCAGCCTGCTCTACTCAAGAGCGAAATCATAAATTGGTAAAAATAAAACCATCTGAAAAAAGCCTTAGTAGGACTTGTGCTACACTTACAGCACAAAGGAAAATAGGACACAAACTAATCTGCTAAGGGTGAGGAGGAAAATGCTCATACAGGCAGGCCTGTGCATGTCCAATATCTTGCTAGCAAAGCACAGACTTTCTACTTGGTTGTGGGAAGGGAAAGGGCTACTCACTGACTGGAGTAGGGCTATCAGAAATGGCTACAGAGAGGCAGAGTCATTCAGAGAGCCTGCAGGGCACCATCATCTGGGACAGACCCATAACCAAAGTTTTCCACAGCTGAAGCAAAAGTCTCCCAGAGTAGCCACGGGCATCTGACATAGCTATAAGATGTGAGCAAGGGCTTTGAGGCAGCTGCAGCTGTCAGTGGTAGAAGAAAGAAAATAATTTAAAATTACCTCTTGGGGGAGATGTAGCCCCTTCTCCTGTCTCAAACTGGAAAATTAGAATGGGTGAGCAGAGAGTACACTGGTTTTGAAGACTACAACGTGCTCCAGTTCCAGATTCTCTTTGCAAGCTTTGCAGCCTCAATTAGCTTGGCTGTAAAATGGGGGGCCCTTGAGTTGTGGTGAGTTGGCCAAGGGGTAATTCTGCACAGAAGGCACACATGGACCCCTCACCTCACACATGCACACGCACACACACACACATGTATGTGTACACAGCATGCATGTGTTTGTGGACGTAGACATACATGCATGTGCCTTCCCAAGCTCATGGCAGCAGAAAATATCTGAGACATCATTTTGCAAATGTCAGTCATCTTTGCCAAGATGGCTTCCTTGTCCATGTGGCCAGTGTGAAAGTGTCTTCTACAGAGTCGAAGAGAGAGAAACACTGGGTCAAGAGAGAGGAGAACTATAGTACAGTGGGATAACTATGGGCCGTGACACTTAAATATGTATCTCAAAATAGCTGATAAAGAGAATTTTGAATGCTCTCAACACACAGAAATGATAGTTTTGATGTCAGTTACTCTGATCTGATTGTTAAACCTTGGATAACTATTGAAATACCCCACTGCACCCTCAAAATATGCATAATTATTGAGTATCAATTAGAAATTATAAAGTTTTGTTATAGATAACAATGAAATGGAATCTTGAAATAAATTAGATAGAATGAGGAGGTGTCATTTCTTGTGCTCAACAAAAAAGGTAACATCCCTCACCACCCTCCCTCCACTCCTTGGCCCCTGCTGGCCCCATCAGCACACCCAAAGAGCCCTGGGAGGTTGCTCAGAAGAATGCCAGTGATGGCTGACAGCCCCCTCCTGGCCCCCATGTCCTTCTCCACTTTCTTCTGCTTGCCTGTGTGCTCCCCCAGCCTGTGCAGGGGTCCCTGCTCTACAGGGCCTCATTTATCCCTCTCATCAAAAGCAAAAGAGCTCGTTTCCCAGGCATTTTCATTTTTACTTTTTTGTCCTTTGTAGCCTGTTTTTAACTGGAGTAGTAATGCTCAGTTCCACTGGAGACCATGGTCCCCAGGGAGCTCAACACTGCAGCCCTCTCATCCCAGAGGTGGCATTGATGTGCCTGTCCTGTTCTGTTATTAATGCACAGCGTCCTCTGGGAGAATGCCTGTGTTCCATAAAACCACTCCTAACATGAAAACAAACAGCACTGCAAGTGGGTGGGCAGTGTGGGAGGTGAACATTGGCCCGTGTATTAAGGAATGCTGGGAGACTTCTATTTCAAATCCAAAGCAAGATGAAATTCCTCCCCACACACCTGTGACATTTGTTCTGAGAACACTTGGTAAAAATCGATTGTCAGAGTTAAAAAGGGCCCTCAAGATGATCTGGCCTGGGGATTATTAAGTAACGACACACATCAAAATCACCTGAGAAGGTTTTTCAATGTGGACATGAGATTCTGATTCAGAAATTCAAGGTGAATTATAAAGGAATCAAAATCTCGGTGGTTGGTGGTGAATTTTGCATTCACTATTTGGGTGGATGGGGAGAAGGAAGTTATTTTTATCATTGTCATTTTCTGCTAAGTAAAATGTCTCAAATTGCTCATGAATGACGGTTGCCCCTTTCACCTTGACTTTAACATAGAATTTTTCTGCACCCTCACAATCTTCGATGAAGTAAAGGAGAGAGAAAGTGAAAGAATAGTGGGTGATCGCATTGGAACAAAGGGAAGCCAATGAAGTTGAAATATTTGATCTTTTTTCCCTTGGCTTTGAGAGAGGCCCTGTAACATTTCCTCTCCTGCCACTTCAATTGCTCATTCATGTCATTTCTTTGCTTCATTTGCCTTTCTTATCTTTTACATTTTTCCCCTTTACTACTTCTTTTGGTCCCATTTTCCTCTCACCTTTCCATTGCCCCACTCAAATCCTCCTGGGTAAAAAGGAAAATGGCTTTGCCATATGTCTGACACTTGCGTTTCATGATGTAGGACAAGGATCCATCTTCAGGGAGCACAAAGGCAGCTTTGTCCCGACTTCCTCTCCTTAGCCCTCTAACCACAAGAGCAGCTCAGTGAGTCTCAGACTTCTGTCAACCTGCAAAAAAAAAATCACCTTGGATGGCTTATGGAAATGGAGATTTCCATAAGAGAATTTGATTCAGTAAGTAGAAGGTGGCACCCATTCGTTGGAGGAAGAGCGTAAACTGATTATTGCACCCATGGTCCACGAAGAAGCCTAATGTGACTGTGGACTCCTCGGTTCTAAGCTCCAGTCTCCGTATGAAATCCTCAGCCAGCCACCAGCTCTTACCTCTCCATCTCTCCTTTGGTGGAATGAGGGTCACCATCACATCCACCTCACTGGGCTAGGGTGCCCACATGATGATGTCCAGAAGTGCTCTGCCCAAGCCCTGTCCCAGCAGCCAGGCACACTCCAGCTGCTACTCCTCCTCACAACCAAGTAGCTGCTTCTGATTAGTGGGATTTTAAGAGAAAATAAAACTCTCATAGCAGTTAAACTTCTGCCTTAATATCATCTTTCTGCCATGCAGCACCACACCTGAAACTTGGGTATTTTAGACAAAGGAAATAACTGGTTGAGGACTCCTCATCTGAAAATCTGACATCAGAAATACTGCAAAATCAGACACTTTTTGAGCACCACAATGATACCTCAGGTGGGAACATCCACACCATGAATGTTGCTTCGTGCACAAAATTATTAAATATATTGTATAAATTACCTTCAGGCTGTGCAGATAAAATATACATGAAGCACAGATAATTTTGTGTTTAGACTTGGTTTCCTCCCCAAAATATCTCATTATGTATATGCAAATATTCCAAAATCCACAAAAGTCCCCAAAATATCCAAAATACAAAACACTTGTGGTCCCAAGGACACCACCCGAGCTGTAAGTTCCCCTTACTCCAACATCACACTTCTCTCATGAACCCTTCAGTGAGGACAGTAGTCTACTCTGTAGAAGAGGACGATACATTTGAATTCTGCCTTTCATTCCAATCTTCGTTTTTACAATTTTGTGTAATTATAGCTTTTAGGAAAAAATAAATCAAAATTTCCTAACAAAATAATAAGGGAATGACAGTAGTTAATAGACCAGTCTTCTCAGCGTAAGGAATAAGCATCATGAAATGTCCTCAGCACCTCTAGTCGTCCTCCACTCCACCTCATCCCCAGCATTTCTACTGTGCTCGGTGAAGGAGTGAGCAGTAGCCCTTTCCATATCTCTGGGTTTCTTTGTGCGTTTTCCACATTTTCTACTCTATGACTGTTTTTCCATGTCCCTTTCATCCACTGGGCCTGGCCTACTCCCTATTTTCTCTCTAGATAACAAAGGTGTTGTTGCTGTCCCTCAATCCAAGCTCCTCTTGCAAGGCATTATGGATATAAATAAGCCCTGGACCTCTGATTTCTTGACAGAAAGTGAGGAAAGTATGGGGGAACAGATATGATATGGATGTGGGTGTCTCATACGTGAAGCAAAGACAGCATCCTTTCTTTCATGGCTTTGCCCACCCTGCCTGCCCCTATTGCTGCAGTGGTTAACTGAAAATGTACAGAAGGACATACAGAGAAGATTCCAGCTGTTCCATGCTGCAGGAGAAAGAGTGTAGAAAGAATCTCCTGAGATTTGTCTATACCTGCATTGTCCCTACTTAGGATATTGCATAGAACATAGCAGGCATGCAACAGATATTTGAAGGAATCACCAAGCATTCTGCCACTGTGCTAGTGCTCTTCTAAACCATAGTCATAGGTTATACAGTGATGTTTGGGGATTACTGCAATTTGAGAGATTGATTCATACCAAATTTTATATATTGTTTCCAAAAGTAAGCTATTTCTATTAGGCATTACATTAGTTTCCTATGGTTTCTATAACAAATTACTGAGTGGCTAAAACAACATTTTCTGTCATGGTTCTAGAAGGTAGAAATCAGAGATCAAGCCGTGCTCCATCAGAAGGCTGCAGGGAAGAATCCTTCCTTGTCTCCTTGAGCTTCCAGTGGTTGTCAGGAATCCCCAGTGTTCCTTGGCTGGTAAATGCACCACTCCCACCTCTACCTCTATCTTCACCAGGCTTTCTCTCCATGAATTTGTCTAAATTTCCTCTTCTTATAAAGAACACCAGTCACACTGGATCGCACCCTCCACCATCTTAAATTTATTGCCTCTGCAATGGCTCTGTTTCCAAATAAAGTTCCATTCACAAATTGTAAATGGGCATGAATTTCAAAGAACAGTATTTAACCCAAAAGAGACACTCTCTTGTCCTGCCACCTGTAAGTCCCCATGCTGAAATTCATCTTGGCCAGTTTTTAGGGCTGGAAAGAAGTTTTTAATTTCTCTAAAGCTTTGACACTATCAGTTGGCTAGTGAATATTATTAGAGTGGTGGTTAGTGAGCTAATACTTGAGATTGAGGTTCATTTCTCCTGAGAGGAGGGTCCAGGCCTGAGATTCTGGACTGAGTCCTACCTAAAGACAAGATTCTTAGGGCATGGAGTAGGACAGTCAGGAAAGGAATAGGATGGAAAAGATCAAGTCTTTATACTCCAACAGCTGTCTCTAAAATTTCAGATCAGAGGTTCTATTATCCCAAGCTACCATCACAATACATCACAGGCAATGACGGATTAAATAACAGAACTTTACTTTCTTACAGGACTGGATCCTGTGAGCCTGAGACCAGGGAACCAGTATGGTCAGTTTCTGGTGATGCCTCTCCCCCTGGCTTTCGGATGGACCCTTTTCCTTCTCTCTGGGTCCTGACAAGCATGTCCTGTCTGTGCGCGCATCCTTGGCATCTCTCTCTCCTCTCATAGTCCTACCAGACTAGGGCCACATCCTTATGACCTCATTCAATCTGAATTTGCTCCTGAAAGCACTGACTCCCAATACAGTCATGTAGAAAGTTAGTACTTCCTACACAGGAATCTGGTGGACACAGTTCAGTCCATAGGAGAAGGGACCTTGGAAGTTAGCACACAAAAGAGGACCATTATGCAAGGTTTCTGGCAGACATTTTGTGATCCTGTTATCTCAACTTCCTGGTGGTCTCTACTGCATTTTTTACTTCATTCCCACTACTTCACATGCACTGTTCTCTCAGGGGCTTCTTGGCTGATCTCTCAGGCCTTCCTTTGAAATCTGAGTGGAAGCCTCCCTGTCTCCAAAACTCTTGCACTGTGCATGCTTATAAAACCAACACAATTTGGATGATGCAAAGGTCTTCCACCAGCTCAAGCAATAGCCAGGCCTCTTTGGACCACAGCTGCAGTGGCCTCTGAGTACCTGAATGGCTGAACACAGCACAATGAATACTGGGAGGCCAATTCTCTAGGAGGCCCTTCTTGAGCAGAGGTCCCAAGGAGTCTCTTCTCAAATGAAAAATTTATACTTTTGTACCCTTGAGCCTGGGATCTTTCTAATTTTGGAAATGTTCTCAAGCCAACTTTTTTCTTGTCCCTCTACAAAGTATTTATACATTTTTAATGGCACTAATCTCCAAGTCTACACATGGTTCTTTGGGGAAAAATTTAATTTTTTCAAATATTTCTGCTCTGCTTTTTCGTTCTGTTTTTTCCTTATAAATCTAGTTAAAAGCAGCCAGAAGTACCCATGTTTTGGGCTACTTTCAAATTTCCTCCACAAGATCAATTAGTCCACCACCTTTAATCTTAGTCTCCCACAATGTCTCAGGACATGAGCAAAATGTAGACACATTTTTGCCAGAATGTAAATTTTGATCTCTAGTCCAATTTCCAATAGAGTTTTTGTTCCCTTTCTAAAACTCAGCCTGCCTTTATTGTTATTGTCTGCTTTCCTATCAGCATTCCAGTCTTCTGATCTCTGACCAGAATTGCCTGTAAAGCATTGCTGATAACATTCTAGGGCTTCTCTAGACAGCATCTCCAAACATTTCTGTACTCCTCCTGCAAACTACTTCTAAAGGCTTCTGAATAACATGGTCAGGTGTAGTCACAATGACCTCTGGTATCAATTTTCTATTAATTGCAGACACACCATCACTGAGACACAATATCCAACACCTACAATTTAAGGTAGGAGAAATTTGTTTTGGCTTATGTGTTAAGGGGATTCAGTCCATGGTAAGCTGGCTCCAAGGCATAAATATTATGATAGAAACATGTGGTGGACCAAAGATGCTCAGTTCACGGTGGCCTAGAAGTAGAGCAGGAAACAGTGCCAGAGAGAAAGGGACCAGAAGCCAGATATAGTCCCCAAGGTCACACTGCCATGACCTCCCACACACAACACACCCAAGAGTACACTCTATGAATCCCTTAGGTGACTTTCAAGCCAATCAAAATGACATAATTAAGCTTAAACACCACACTTCCTCTCCTCTGAACACAGGAAAAACAGACAACTACTTCTTAATAAACAAACCTGAATGGCACCCCTTTCATTTTGACTTATGTTTCAAAATTGTGCAGAAGTACGAGCTAAAGTGCCCTTCACTGAGGAAGACCACAGAAAATTCCATTTGAATTCTCCTCAAACTTACCACTGTGTCTTGCAAAGAGTACACATGCATCAAATATAGTTATTTAAATTTAAATATTAGATTTTATTTAATTCCTATGCTATCTTAAGTACTTTACATATATTAACTCTTTTAATGTTCATAATAATTTAATAGGTAGTTTCTATGATTAGTGGCACTTTATAGATGAACTGAGACGCTGGTGTATTCATTTACTCAGGATTCATCAGTATATCAATGCATGAATCCATCAAGTTATCTGAAGACTGCTCTAGGCTCTATGCTTACTGCCTAGCTGCACCATTTTTTATCTTCAATATTTCAATATTTTTAGTATTTCAATACATTCTATTGTTTAAAATAGAAGGATGCCAGGCAAATCACACAAACTATAAATATTCAACTATATCTCAATGTTTTTTGGTTCGGGTGTTTTTTGTTTTTTTTTGGTACCGGGGATCGAACTCGGGTCCTTGCACTTGCACAGCAGGCAGCAAAACCACTGAGCTAAATCCCCAGCCCTCTCAATGTTTTTATATAAACCCAGTTCACACAGTTAT